ATCTATCCCCATCCACCCCCTCTATCTATCTATCTATCCCCATCCACCCCTCTATCTATCCCCATCCATCCCCTCTATCTACCTATCTACCTATCCCCATACACCCCCTCGATCTATCTATCCATCCCCATCCATCCCCTCGATCTATCCATCCCCACCCATCCCCTCTATCGATCTATCTATCTATCCCCATCCATCCCCTCGATCGATCTACCTATCTATCCCCATACACCCCCTCGATCTATCCCCATCCATCCCCTTGATCGATCGATCGATCGATCTATCTATCTATCCCCATCCATCCCCTCTATCGATCTATCTATCCCCATCCACCCCCTCGATCAATCTATCATTGCCCCCTCCCCATGGATGCAGCCTCCCAGGTTGCCTGCTCTGAGGGAAGGGGACCTGGTGCCCCAGGGATGCTGCCTTGGGGGGTTCACGCTGAGTCGGTGCTCACCTGTACTGTGGTCCCTTTCTCTCCAGACACTCGTATTGCCCTACTGGCTGGGAGTGGCCAATGAAGACATTTTCATAGTCGCTGGCCTGGCCGGGGCCCATCTCTGCGTTGCGGCTGATGTAGCGCGGCTGGCCGTGGGTGATGGATGTGGTGGATTCCCGCTTGCTGTGGATGACAGAGGCCTGTCTCCTCTTCCTGAGCAGGAACAAGCCCACGCCCAGGCCCCCCACCAGCAGCAGCACGGCCAGCACTGAGCTGGTGATGGCCACGCAGAGCGGCGTGCAAAGAGGCTGGCACTTCTGCGTGTTGAACTCGGTGACGTTGAAGATTCCCTCCTCTGAGCGGCAATGGCAGGTGCTGTTGGAGCTACTGCAGTAGTTGACCACGCTCCCCACAACGTCGCACTTGCAGTCCACGACCAGGCTCTGCAGGTTGGTGGCGTTCTTGAAGAACTCCATGGGCAGCTCCGACAGCTCGTTGTGGTGCAGGTAGAGCCGCTCGAGAGCGCGTGCCTGGGAGAGGAAATCCCGGGGAAGACTCTGCAGGTAGTTACAGGACAGATCCAGCATCTCGACCGACCCCCCCACCTGGGCAGAGCCATTGATTTCCTTGATGGCAAGGTTGCTGAGGTTCAGGGAAGTCTTGCTACTGAATTCCGACCACTCCTGGTCCACGCTGAAGCTTGAATTTGGAGATTTCAAGTAACACGCCCAGCTGGACGGCACGCTGTGCAGGAGGAGCAGGGCTGCCAGGAGTGCCAGCATCTTCCTAGCCGGGAAGCAAGACACAAGCAGGCTGTAAATGGGGGGTGTTGCAGCAGGACAGAGATGGGGGGAGGAGAACACTCCTTCAGTCCTAACTGCTCCATGCCCCAGGCAGGCCTGCTCCAGCCAGGCTCCCCCACCGGCGAGAGGATGCTGCAGCGACTCCTGGTGCATTGTGCCCCAGGCCCAGGCAGCACTAGCCCCAGCAGAGCCCCTCGCGTGCGTGCCTGCCCATTATGCAAAGGAGGTGGTGGAAGGGAACGGGAGGGGTGGGGGAGAAGCGGGGACTGCTCCCCAGTATCGCTCTGCGTGCCCCAGGAGCCCTGGCTCCCCTCCCCCCAGGCACGGGCTGTGGTCGCACCGATATACTTGGAGTGAAAAGAACAGGAGGACTTGTGGCACCTTAGAGACTAACAAATTGATTTCAGCATAAGCGGTCGTGGGCTACAGCCCACTTCTTCGGACGCGTAGAGTGGAACACGCAGACAGAAGATATTTATCCATCCAGAGAACATGAAAAGGTGGACGTTTGCAGACCAACTGTAAGAGGCCAATCAATTTTTTTTTCTGCTGCTGATAGCTCATCTCAATTGAGTGGCCTCTTACAGTTGGTCTGCGAACTTCCACCTTTTCATGTTCTCTGGATGGATAAATATCTTCTGTCTGCGTGTTCCACTCTACGCGTCCGAAGAAGTGGGCTGTAGCCCACGACCGCTTATGCTGAAATCAATTTGTTAGTCTCTACGGTGCCACAAGTCCTCCTGTTCTTTTTGCGGATCCAGACTAACGCGGCTGCTCCTCTGATCCTTGGAGTGGGCGCCCGGGTGCAAAGGGGACCTGGGGAAGTAGCTACTCTGCAGTCACAAGCCAGTGGCTCTGTGGGGAGAGGAGGGAGGTGGGGCGGAGAGCGGAGCTGAAGTAGGTCGGGGCAAATGGAGCTAGAGACAGCAGAAATGCTCCGTGCTCCGGCCTGAGCACGGGGAGCTTTGGTGGGGCTGGGGGGGGGGGCTGCGCTCTGACCTGAGCACGGGGAGCCTTGGGGGGGGGCTGCACTCCGGCTTGGCCTCGGCCCCATCCCCGTTTTCTCTAGCGGATGATCATTCTGGGATGAGGGGCAGCTGTTTTGCAGGGCTGGGGGTTGAGTGCCAGCCCTTTTAGCTCAGCGGGACTCTCTGCAGGCTGCCAGCCCTGGGGGTGCTTGGAGGAGGGGCCCGTGCCCGCAGGGTTACTGCTGTCCCTGGAGGGAGGGATGCCAGGCCACGAGCCAGGGCGATGGAGTTGGGGCGGACGGACCCCAGGGAGTAGAGGCATCGTGGGCGATTCGTGGGCGGTCTCCTAGGCGTTCACCGCTCCGGCCATTTGCAGGGAAGGTCCCAGCCACGACGCTGCCTCTGCCCTTCAGCACCACGGGCAGGCGCCCCCCCCCCCCATCGCCAGCCTCTTGCACCTTGTCTGCTCAGAGCGGCTCAGGGGTGAGGATAGGGCTGCCTGGCCATGCCCTGCTGAGACAGCTGCTGGCTGGTGGCTAACGGGCACTCCACTCCCCTGAGTGAGCCCGGGCACCCCGCGCTGCTCGGTGGCACAGGGCGAGAGGCACCTGCCCGCTGGCCCTGTCCCCATCCTGCCCCATGGAGCCCCCTGCCCTGTACCTGAGCTGTCGCCTGCCTCCTGCCCTCGGCTGCGTCTGCTCCTCTGCTGTGCGACTCGACTCGGCGTCTGGACAGAAGAGGAACCAGCAGTTCCTCTCTTGCTGGCCAGAGGCTGTCACAGCGCGGGGGAGGGGAGCTCGGTGGTGTAGATAGAGAGCCAGGACGGGGCTTGGGGAGCAGGAGGGGAGCCCTGCCCTCACCGGCCATCCCGGGCTGTGTGCTAGCTCTGGGCTCCTCCCTTCTCTGCCACTTTCCCTTTGCTTTCGTTTTTCAGTCTGGCATCCCCCCGCGCTGGGCGCTGCCGAGCGAGGGGCGTCTGCCGGGCCCAGGTCAGAGCAAGGCCGTGCCGTCCTGGCCCATCGGAGCCTGGCAGCAGGGCCAGGACAGTGGAGATTGGAGCGGCCCCATGAGGGAGGCTAACTGGAGAGTCCCTGTCGAAGTGGGGGTGCTGGGGGGCTCCCAGCTCTGGGGTGAGGCCCCGCTGGGTAACATCACAGACCCTGCAGAACAACGAGGGAGTGAGACGGGGGGGGCAAGGCTGGGCCTTTCAGCACCGCTGGGGGGTTGCCCCAGCACTAGCCTCGGTGTGAAGGGCCTGCACAGAGGGGGAGAGTGCCCGAGCGTGGGCACTGCTGCCGTCCGCTGCCCACAGGGAAGGGGGCAGGGGGCCCAGGCTTGCAGGGCAGGGCCCTGCCCCACCAGTTCTTGATGCCCCCAGACGGAGCATGGCGCTGACTCGGCATCCCGGGCACAGGAAGGAAGTGTGGGTTCCTCTGTTCAGATGTCACAAGGAGGCAAATGAAAACTGTGAAACCCGCCCCACCCCCACGCAGGAGAAAATGCTGAGCGAAGGGCAGCTGCATGCCGAGGTCAGCGAGCTGGGGCTGGTGGGGGGCTTGGGGCAAAGGGCTCAGGAACCTTGTGGACCCCCCCCCACTGACCCATAGCCTCCCTTAGCTCTAGGGTGACCAGATGTCCTGATTGTATAGGGACAGTCCCAATTTTGGGGTCTTTTTCTTATATAGGCTCCTATTACCCTCCCACCCCCTGTCCCGATTTTTCAGCCCTGCTGTCTGGTCGCCCTACTTAGGTCTCAAGGTTCTGCATGTCAGTGTCCAGTGCTCTTGGGGCCCCTACACGGAAGCCCCCTGGGCCAGTGCACCCCCCCCCGCCCTGCCTTCTGGCCACAGACACGCTGCCTTTGGCCCTCCCCTGCCCATGTCACTGCAGACCCCCTGACCCCCTCTCCCTGGGCGCTGTCTGCCATGCCGGGCCCTGGAGAGCAGCCTCCCTTGGGCTGTTGGAGGGGGACAGCTCCCTCCCCTAGCAGCCCCCACCGTGGGCACCACACCCCTGACCCCTCCCGACCAAGGGCCCGGACTCCTGCTGCCCCTGCAGGGCCACTGCAAGATGCTCCCGAGCGGGCGTTGGGTGTTCCCCGAGCACCCAGCCCAGCCTGCCAGCGCATCGCAGCCTGCCGGCCTGGGCGGCCTGGCAGGGGCCGGAAGGTGCATTTCGCAGATCTCAGCCCTGCAGCTCTGGCCTGGCTCTCCCCCTTCTCATGCCTTGCCAAGTACCTAGCCAAGAGCCTGAATCCAGCTAGCCCAGGTAACCAGAGCAGGGCCAGTGAGCCGCGCGTTCCCCAGGGTCCCTGCTGCGCTCGTAACCCGTCTTTGCTGCTGTTGTGCCCACGCTAGCGAGACTCGAGCTCCCCGGGGCAGGCCCTGGACACAGCCCCTTTGTCTTTGATGCCAGACCCAGCTGGCGTCCTCAGCCCGGCAAGCCCCGAAGAGCCCCTGGCTCCCCTCCCCCTTCTAGCCAGTGTCTGTCTCGGGCTTGGCAGTGAATTGGGGAAGCTGGGCCGGGTGAAGCAAAGGCAGTTACAGTAAAAGCAGCTTGCAGGGGAAAGTTCTGAAATCCCCCCGGGCGGCTGCCCACAGGCGAGCTAGGTGCTCCCCCCTGCGCTCAACGCACGCAGCAAAGGGTCACGGAAACACGCCAGTGCATGGGCTGCTTCCTCCAGCTCGGCTCCGGCCTGGCTCCCGAGCACACGCGGCTCTCGGACGCTCACCCCCATGGCGGCACCGGGTCTGTGCGGCGTGCCAGTGAGCCAGGCTTCCCCCCCGCAGGCCCCCCAGGGAGACAGGCTGGGACGAGTCAGGGACGTTAAGGCCAGAAGGGACCATCGTGATCGGCTAGTCTGACCTGCTGCACATCACAGGCCCCAGAACCCACCCCCCCCCCATTCCTGAAATAGACCCTGAACTTCTGGCTGAGCCACTGACGTCCTCAAATTCTGGTGTAAAGACTTCCCATTACAGCGAATCCACCACTGACGCTCGTTTAAAGCTGCAGGTGCCCCGTGCCCCACGCTGCAGCGAAAGGCGAAACCCCCCAAGGTCCCTGCCAGTCTGACCTGGGCTGGGGGAAATCCTTTCCCGACCCCAGAGCTGGATTAGTTGGACCCTGAGCATGCGGGCGAGACCCACCAGCCAGACACCTGGGAGAGAATCCTCTGTAGTCACTCAGAGCTGGGGCGGGGAGTTATATGGGCCTGAGGTGCCTGGGCTCCAGCAAATTCAGGGCCGGCTCCACCAATGTTCGGGGCCGGGTCTCCTCCCCGGACCCACCTGCTGCCCCCGAGTGTCTCCTCCCCTGAGTGTCCCTGCCTGCCCTGGGCAGCTCCGCGCTGAGCTCCCTCGCCGGCTGCAGCCAGCTAGAAGGGAGCAGCGCCGGGGGCAGCCGGAGGCGCCTGCAGAGGGAGGAGAGGAGGTACATGGCAGCACCCAGAGTCGACTCAGAGTTGCCTGCCAGGGGTGGGACCTTATTCTGGCTGGACCTTCTGAGCAGCACCCTGGGGGGGCTTGGGTGAGTGTGGTGCCGGGGGGGCTGGGGAGGGGGCTGCCCTCCCCTCCCCCAGAGCTTGCTGGTGCTGGCGGGGAGAGGCAGCCCCAGGGCAGCCCCAGGGCAGCCTGCCCGCTGCACTCCAAACGCCTCATCCCCGGCCCAGCCCCACACCCTGCACCCCAACCCTCTGTCCTAGCCCAGAACCCGCATCCAGCACCCAAACCTTCTCCCACATCCGCTCCCCCTCTCCCAGCCCAGAGCCCGCACCCAGCACCCAAAGCCCTCCCAGAGCCCACACCCCTCTCCCAGCCCAGAGCCCGCACCCAGCACCCAAACCTTCTCCCACATCCGCTCCCCCTCTCCCAGCCCAGAGCCCGCACCCAGCACCCAAAGCCCTCCCAGAGCCCACACCCCTCTTGCACCCAAATTCTCTCCCAGAGCCTGCACCTCAAACCCCCTCCTGCATCCAAACTCCCTCCCAGAGCCCGTACCCCTCCTGCCCCCCACCCCCCTGTCCCAGCCCAGAACCTGCACCCAGCAGCCAAACTCCCTCCCAGAGACCGCCCCCTCCTGCACCCAAACTTCCTCACAGAGCCTTAGGCAGGTGGGGGGGGGGGCGGGGGGGCTTGGACCCGTTCTGGGCACCACCAAAAATTATACAGATCTGCTGCCCCTGAC